CAATTGAATTGCAGGACAGTCAAATTTGTTGGGAGGTCAAATTGAAAATTGTAAACCTTGCAATTTGACCTACCAGTAAATTTGACTGTCCTGCAATTCAATTGTAAAATTGCTGGGAGGTCAAATTTGCTGGGAGGTCAAATTGCAAGGTTTACCACATGTATACACGATGATGGTGTGCATTCATTGAGAAAATCTTAAAAAATTATTTTGTCCCACGCACGCTGAAAAAAAATCCAAGTAAAACACAGAAAGGGAAGCAGTTTCTATCTGTTGATACTGGAATTTATCTAAATTCTCACGCTCTATTTCTAGGGAATTTCTAGACACACACACAAAAATCACAAAAGTTTTTAAATCTCCATCAGGCATACGAAGAATACGGCACCAGCAGCAGCAAAAATAACCCGAAAATTGCCAGGGGCTCAAAAGGAGGGTACAAATCTGACGAGTACCAGGAACAGGGCGATTCATACGACAACGACATCCCTGGCAAACCCGGGGTTGATTACCCGATCTTCCACGCCGTACCCGAAACCCGATTCGCTTGTGATGCCATGCCAACCCGACCCGGGATGTATGCTGATGTGGACACAGGATGCCAGGTTTGGAATTTGCTATACCATTTCAGTGGAAACCTCTGATGGAAGTCCTCATTTGAAAAAAAAGGGACCAGCAAAAAAGTCTGACTTTTATTTGGGAAGTTTTGAATCAAGGGGAAAAAAACTTTTTTTGTTGCTGTTGTGGGAAACGTAGAAGAATATTGCAGGAAATGGTAAATGGTGATATTATATGCCTTGAATTGAGAATCTTCAAGTTTACATTTTTTTTTTCAAAATCTCATGCTGCCCCTTGGCCTGTATTTTTTCTATAATTTTTTGTTTGTTTTCTTTTTGCTTTGGTTCAATGCAGGTATACAGAATTTGCGATGATGGAAGACATGGTAAATCCGGTGCAGGTTTCTTGTGCACCAATGGCACCATCTTCAACCAAGCCGTGTTCACTTGCGACTGGTGGTACAATGTTGACTGCAGCCAAGCACCTCAGCTCTACAAGTTAGAATTTATTCCCATTTTCATTTTTCACACAAACACACACACACACACATGCTAGATGAAGCACAGAAAAATTACTTAAAAAAATGTTCATAAGGTTCACAAAACTATCTACCACAGTGTTGCCAAACCTTCTTGTGCCCACAGAATGGCAAATTTCCATGAAATGTTTGCAGACTGGAAAATTTCCATGAAATGTTTGCAGACTGGAAAATTTCCAAAATATTTACTGCACAGCAGCATGAGAATTTTTGCAGACTCAAAAAAGTGTTGCTTGAAACACTTTATGGCATATATTTAAATATTTCTGCAATTTTGCAAAAAGTAAGTTGACAATCAATGAAGCAGCCCATAATGGAATGTCTTCCAAAAATTAGAAAAGGTGGGCTTGAAGAAAGGTTTTCAGAACAAAAACTTGAAATAATTTATTTCAGCTGGTGCAAATTTGTCTGATGTGTTATGAGGAAGAACGCCAACAATTATTTCCATCAAATAATTTAAACTGCCTTTGTCTTTCCAGAATTTTATTTTGAGAACCCTGATCTAATTGAGTACCATGCACCCTTGAGTAAGAAACGTTCCAGGGGGTTTCAGTCAAAAAATTGGATAAAATTGTGTGAATGAATGAACAGAACACTTTATTTGCCACTTTTCAGCATTCACAAGGTTCACTCAAGATTTCCACAACCAAACCCCCCTTCCCACCCAACCCAAATCCACTCAAAGACATTTTAATCACTTCAGAGCAGGAAAGCAAAAATTGCTAACAAAAATAAAAGAAAATACAATACAACATGAAATACATGTTGCTTACATGCTTCTCAGAGACTCTGACACTTTTATACACTGACATGTATACATACACCCATTCATTCCCTCACATTGGTAACAAAATATATGTAAAAATTAATTTAAAGCACAAGGTCTTCAGCTTGTTTCTGTATGATCTGACATGTATGCATTCACCCATTCATTCCCTGACATTGGTAACAAAATATATGTAAAAATTAATTTAAAGCACAAGGTCTTCAGCTTGTTTCTGTATGAGGTTTAGTTGAATGAACAAATTACAGAGAATCTTTGATGAGAAATCATATAAAGCCAACAGTTTATCTTGATCCTTTAAGATTTCAGAAAGGGTCTCTTCAAGTCGAACTTCAAGGAACTAGCAACAAATTCGAGCAAGGGAAAAGAGCAGGGAAGAAAAGAAGAATCGCAAAAAATTCTAATTGGTGATATCCTGGGACTAAATCACTTCTTAAATGAGTTGACGGGTTGCTGAACTTGAAGAGGCTAGGGTTCATTTGCCCAATTAGTTCCCTCACTTCCTTTCAAAACACATGAAATTACCGTTTTTCTTGCTTTTCTCTTCCTGGTGACGATAAAATAGTAGTCACAGGGCCTCGAGAAAATTTGAGTTATGGATGTTCGATGGGAAACCTCCACTGAGTCAGACAGGTTTTTAAATACATTCTTTCCAAGAGAACACAGACGGGGGACTTGAAATGAATTCGACACCCGGAGGCTCGAATCATCACAGTTCCACAGTAGTATTAGTTATTATTTTTTTTGTTCTTTTTCCCCTGGAGCTGTAAGCATTGACTAAAGAAAAAGAGTGAAATGCCTTGACGCATTCATTCCCACTTGCCGTACTGAGTGGGATAATGCTGTGGGAAGTTCAGTTACGGAAGAAAGTTCGCGGTTCGAAAGTTCAGACGCCAAAAAAAAAACCCCCCGGAAGTCGAGACACGCATGATGACGCATTCATTCCCACTTGCCGTACTGAGTGGGATAATGCTGTGGGAAGTTCAGTTACGGAAGAAAGTTCGCGGTTCGAAAGTTCAGACGCAAAAAAAAACCCCCCGGAAGTCGAGACACGCATGCTCCGAAGTTTGCACTCTTCACCCAACAGCTGTCGCTAGGAAATACAAGTGCGGATACTCTCTCTCTCTCATTCTCCGCAATCACTCAGAGACGACCACAAAATTCAAGAAATTCAATTAACGAAATGTGACATAATGTGCAAAAGAAGAATATATTATTCATACTAAATCAATTTAAACATAGTACAATGTAAAACAGGGCAGTTGGGCGTCAAATTATTTCTCGCGACTTTCTCTCTCAGAAAACTCAATAGTCAACAGTGGAATAATTTTAGACCTACATATTCAAAGTCCAATCTTTGTACCATATCTTATGGACAGTGAAACATTATCCATTCAATATTCCGAAATATTTTACAACGCAGAGTAAGGAGAAAAATCCATGTTCCTGCTGAAAATATCACAAACATCTTTCATTTTTCCAGGATGTGTTTCCGACGGGAATTTTTTCCCAGAGAGGTTTTTCGTACCACGGGATTTTTCCACGGAGCCGTTTATGGACATCTGAGGTCAACGGGGTCAAGGAAAGCTCTAAAGAATTCGCCCCTTCACCTGTCGTACGGATATGCAGTACATGCCTGCGATTCGCTGAAGTGCACTAATAAGCATTTTACTGAAAATGATGGGGTTTCAACTCCTTTGACAAGTCGGACCTCTCTCAGTTGAATTTGAAGGGGCCAACAAAACATTTCGGCTTAGGGAGGTTTCAAGTGAGGGAGGTTACGGAAACTAGGTGTGAAAATGCACATTTTAAAATAATTTAAGAGTAATTGGAAATTCAATTTTTGCTGAAACTGTGCATAGTGTGCCCCAAAGCATTTACTGGATTTTTCCCACTGCAAAAAAAGGCCAACTGTAGGAAACCGCAGGGCAAATGAATCTAAAGAACCTCAAGCAGGGATTTTATGGTCCAACTGAAGTTGCTCATTTTCCTTCCCAAAAGCTGAATTTTCTGTCCTCAAAAAAGTCTGCAAGAATTATGTCTTCCGGAAGTTCACAGTTAAAACACCTTTGATTTGAGCATGTTTAGGTTACCTAGTTTCAACAGGATTTTAAATAGAGTAGAAAAAATTGAGCTTGGGAGGTTTTTGACATTTCCAACTGTATCATGAACAATGGAACATTTTTGATCAGGTCTTCTGGGTGACCCATTATTTAGTTTTTTATACACTGTACATAAAATATCAAACCAACTAACCAAATGCTGGGTCTCCTTCAACTTCGCAATTTCTGAACTGCTGAAAATCCAAGACAGCATTGTTAGACTTGTGCTGAATTTATACCAATTTAAAGTCCATACAAACATATAATTATTTGAATTATGATCTTATAATGTGCAGTAAAAAGTTTGATTCCAGAATATCTGCAATTTTGCACCAAAACTAACAAAATTCAAGCATAGCATTTGGAATGGAAGCATCACTTGTTCACATAGCTGAAAGAATTAAATTTTCTTACAATTTAATGGACAAATTTGTTCAAAAATAAGCTTCAGAAAAGAACACGCCAAAAAGATTAGCATAATGAGTCATGAATACAAACAAACAACAGTTGAGTAGCAATTTTCACTCAACACGAAGTTGCACCTTTGAAGAGGCAATATTTGAAATTAAACTCATTCTCAAATTATTTTCCACAACAATTTAGCTTAAAATCTTGGTCATAATTATCAGCAATGCATTTTGAATTTTCTTATTTTTAAAGGAATTCTGTCTGATTACATGGAAGGGTTTGAGTTCAGCAAACATGCTTGAACAATGAAATCTGTTTTCCAACATTGGTTAAAACTTTGATTCTTTGGGACATTTGTGCTTTATGATTATTCTGAGTTTATGTGTGCTGTTATCTAATCTGTTTGGACCCTCTGTTCATGCAAAAATCATTGCTCATTCACAAATTGAAGTCCTGAGAAAATGTTCCAAAATATCACACTTTTATTCTGAACTGGAGACAGGCTGCTGACAATGCAGCTTATTGTTATGCTTCATTTGTAATTTTGTTGATCTCATCAATTTGTCTTTGTCTTGGAAATAATTATTTCAGAATGAAAAAGGGTCGTGCGTAAAGTGAAGGGTGTTGTGGTCGTTAATATGACTACAGCTCATTATATTATTAAACTCACATTTCAATTCACTCTTGGGGTGCGCAACTGTCCTGGGGTTGAAATAGGGGTACATGCTTCAAAAAGGTTGAAAAACCCTGGTCCAACATGTTGTCCAAAGACCAAGGTAAATAAAATATGAGTCTGGAATAACATATATCTTCAATATATATATTTTAATCACAAATATTCAGTTTTACAATCACACAAAATATAAAGATATGGAGATGCAAAGAGAGTCTTGCTAAATTGTTATGCAAGTCTCTCTGAGAAATAACCGCAAACAACTCTAGATTAATTCTGAGAAAATATACAGTAAAGAAGATATATATATATATATACCTTCTGACAACACACAGTATATGGGCAAGATATTTGCCTAGATTGAGGAACTGTGGGTTCCTTGAACACTAATGAATATATATACATCCGGGTATATACATGAATACGAAACACATTTAATAAATACACTTGTACCTTTGACAAGAGGGTTCTTCCTAAATTGGCAAGTTCTTCAGAAAGAGGAGGGTCACATGTCACTGTCAACAAATATCCGATTCTATTGAGGAAACAAACATAAATGGGCATCACGCATTAATGCAGGCTGACGCGAGGGAGGGGAACCAAAAACAAGAAGGAACAGCTGCAAGGAACCAAAAACCTTGTAGAAGAGATTTCAACCCAAATAAAGGAGAAGAAAAGAATAAAGAGGGAAATCAGTTTTTGGGTTACAAACAAGAGTGTGGGGCCTTAGTGAGTACCTTCTCATTCTCTATATCAAATGAAACTTCGCCTCACACTTCTATTAGATGACTATCCCAGGACATTTTTGGAAAAAGTTTATTTTCCCCGTTTTTAGTGCATGAAAGTATATTTTTATATGTTTTTTAAACATTATTTTTTATAATTGATTCTTCAAGACGGAATTAAAATAACATTTTGACTACTGGACAGGGCCCAAAAAAGCAGATCCATTATAACGAGATTCTATTCTACATTTCGTAATTTGAACTCAAATTGTTCATTCGATATTTTGAATATTGCCGTGAGAAGATTTGAATAAATTCTGTCCCCATCCGTCATCAGTTCTCAAGAAAATAAAGTTAGGTTCAAGTTTGATATGCTTATTACGCCTCTCCGGATCAGTAGCATGTCAGCATTCAGTGGGAAAAGCGTAGTGTTCGGAAAGTGCGAGAAGATTCTCTGGTTCTTGGCTGCGTTTCTAGTGACCTTCTGTGAGCATAGAAACATCGATATTTCAGCGAATTCAAATTAAAACAATTAATTTAAATGTAATATTCTCAACAGTGTTCCTGAAACTGTGGACAGTGGAACCGTTTGATGCGCCGAAATCAGCTTTGAAAAATAACCCGGAAGTAGAAAAACGTCTTCTCTGGGCTGAAAAAGAAATGTTCGTCAGGTACTTGGGAAATCGAACCAATTCAACTGAATCCAAGGTATGTCAGTGTTTCGAAACTGACTCGAACCAATTACAAGCATCTCGGGATCTCTTGTGTTTGGACCCTCGTGCTAATATTCCCGACGATTCTTCAGCCTTTCGGCAAAAAATACTTTCATTTACTCTATTTGGCGAGAAAAAACGCTACATCCAAGGAGCTGCGTTGAATGTTGCAAGAGTGCCACGTGTTTATCCCGGATGGAACATGCGGATTTATCATAACATTCCAGAAGGAACCCGTTTGTGCGAGTCCATTTGCAAATTGCGGAGCGAAAATGGGATTTTGCAAACGTGTCCAATTGATGAACGAGTTCTTGGGCCGCATCTCATGAGTAAGATCAAAATGATTCTTCTTCACGGACTTCTCAATACTTTTATTTTATTTCATTTTATGCTCGAGCATTTTTTTTTCGACCAAGAAATTCCTTCCAAATAAAAATAATGAACACCAGCTTCTTTCGACTATTTTTGGACCTCAATTGACACGTGAAAATAATAGATCAAGTTACTTTTTCAAACATGCTCGTTTTCCTCCACTTTATAATTTGGTTGAAGCAGTTTTTTTTGAATCTCGTTGAAATCACGCGTCATTCCAGTTCAATGCAAAACGAATTTCCAACATTTCTTAAAAAAGGCAAGTCCTCGAAAAAATATTATTTTGTTGCTGAATCAAATGATAATCTTGGGAAGAATACGTGTTGTTAAAGTCTTGCGAATAATCAATCGCAAACCGGAAGCATTCAATTAACCGCAAAAAAAACTGACAACGAATATTTTTTTATGATCGCTCCAGAAGTCAGAAGCCCTTCAAATTATTCCGGATTTCGACTCGTTCGCTCCTTTGTAATTAATGCGATGTTAAAGAAGCCAACCATTCTCCAAAAGGATTTCATCAGCATGCAATTAAAACATTTCGTACCGAACAGAAAAATAATGTATTCCGCGTGGAAGAAAATTTTCCTTGACGAAATGGTGGTGACTGAGCATTGAGAAAGCCATGCGTAATTCGTTGAAAAAAAACACGTTTAACCAATGTCAAAATTTATTCATTTCCATTTTTAGGAGCTCCAAAAACGCTCTGGAGATTTTTCCCAATAGCCGATTCCAGGGTCTCTGTCTTCGCATCAAGAGACACTGATGCATTCATCAGCGAAAGAGAAGCTGCCGCAGTTTCAGATTGGCTTTCTACCAACAAAACTTTGCACACTATGAATGACCACCGCGGACACGTTTGGCCCATCTTGGCTGGAATGTGGGGGGCCAAATTGAGCAACCCTAGAGCTAGAGCAGACCTATTGCAATTGATGCGAGAAATGCTAGACTATGGATCCTTGGGAATCAACTACTTCAAGGAGGCTGACCAGACTCTCCTCATGGCCACTGTATTCAACCATTTCAAAGGTTCGTGTCTAATTGAATTTCTGGGATTTGACCTCGTTTAAGGAGAGGTACCCCGAGATGCGGACGCAATTCTTACATGAACCTGGTCCCTAAGTCGAAATATCAGCATGTTGGACCTATTTTTTCCATGGGAAAGTGAGACCCCCACATGCGGACGCCTCGACCTACAATTCAACATAGGGACACTTACTTTCCCAGAAAAAATCAATAAATAAGGCACGACATGAGGACACTGACTCAACATAGGGACATTTTGTTATCCAAAAAACTATTTTTACAAAGGAGAAATCAACAATGATCAGTCATTCAAAACTCTTTCTAATAATTAAAGGAAAATGGGGATCGGAGATTTAAATCGTTTTCCGCGACTTTCGAGGGAAACACAAAAGTTACTCCGTGAGAGTATTTCAAAATGATATTTACTCATCTTCACACACAGTCGATACAATAATATTCTACAGAGCAAAAGCGGCGCAGAGTCAGCGTTTGGACAAGGTCTAGTGCAATCAACTTGAAGCAACATAAACAGCACCTGTATATATAGCCTTAGCCGGCCACGGCCACAGGGCGCGCATAGAGAGCCGATTTGGATCGGGGACGTCACGCTTTGTTTCTTTAAAGGAAGGAAGCGTGAGCGCGGTTGGGAAAGAATTCCGTCAACATCGGGATTGGGAAATATAATTGCTAGCACACCAGGCGCAGCCAAGCGTAGAAAAAATTATACAATGTAAGTCTACGGGAAAACAAGACTCAACTTGGGGACATTTCAACTTGGGGACACTCTTGATGCACCAATTACGTCCGCATCTCGGGGTCTCACTTGTATTTTTAATTGGTTCTCCTGTAGATGAATAGTTGAGAAAAATTCATCCGAAAAATTGAATAATCTGTCCTAAAGTTCAAGAAAAAAAAGAATGTACAGAAGAGAACCGATCTTTTGGCATTAGAAGGAGCTCAAAGAACAAGAACAAGTCCTGGTGTAATGATCACAAAAATGAAGAACAAAATTAGCCTGTTCTTTTATTATGAACTTGGGTAATTTCTAAATGAATTTATTTTCAGCATTTGTAAATATATAAATAGCTAAATTTCTTGACGAAATATTAAAATGTAAAAATTTTCTTAATTCTTCAAGAAATATCGAATGCAAGTCCAAGTGTCCATAAGTCGAATCGTCCATATTTCGGAGTCTCACTGCAAAATATTGGTACAGAATAAACCCCGTTAAAACGCCCCATAATCAACATGCACGTATTCATTATGAAAAAAATCGACTCTAATCAAAATAGCATTAGAGACCAAGTTTAAATGCCGTCCGCCAAATTTTTGGAAACTCAAATACTCTGCAGTCAATCAATTTTGCTTATAATAGTCCACCAAGCACCAACAAGATTCAAGTTCCTATGGGAGGTCTCAGAAAAGACAAAAGGTCTACATAAATAATGCTTCCAAGAAGACATACTGTATTCAGTTCATGAAATTTTTATTTCAGTCCGTCTTCACAGTTTCATCGGATAATCGTTTAATGGGTTTGTTCCAGGGTCTAAGGATTGGCTGAACCATGCTTCCCATCACTGCCATAAATTTGGCGTTCGTTCAAAACCTTTTCCTACAAGAAGAGAATCTCAGTTGCAAGATGGTGTTCTTTTTGTTGGTGGGCCTCAGTTTGCCACAAACCAGAGCAATCTTCTGATTGAATGCAAACCTGCATGTCGACCACAGGATCATCTCGACTGGAAATATTGCTGATGAAACAATTAAATCTTTCTCCTGACATTGCTGAGGGAGGAAGCTGGCTTGTGAAGAGGAAGTTGTGTCCGAATTTCATTTATTTATGCTCAATTTCTCAATAATCAAGTCATGGATAATTTTGTTGTAGAGTAGATGCATTGTTATTCATAATCACAAACAGGCTAATTGTGTGCTTCTTTTTTTCAGAGTTTATGGGTTTCATCTGGGCACAGTACAGTACTGTATAGGAAAACGTGTGCTCGTTCTTCGCTGTTTTTGTGCTCCTTCTCATGCCAACAGATCACATTATGCGTGGTTTTCTTCTGCATCACAATTCTTTTTTTTTTGCTTGAAGTTGAGAAAATCATTTTTTGTTCAATTTTCGGGGGACTTCATCCTACTTTCAACCAACAGGGGAACCAATTGAATATATTCCCATTGAAGTCTACGGGAAAACGTGATCCGACGAAGCGTCCAAGAACCAATATACGTCCGCATCTCGGGGCCCAACCGTGCATCCGTTTCGTTGCGGAAAAATTGCTCAAATGAAATAAACAGAAAACCTTTCCGAAGGTCACATTTTTTTCAGGAACCCACAGGTTTCCACTTGACTGCAGTTCAATTTTACTCCCGTGAAAACTAATCGCATTTTACGCATCACGTGGTTTCCCTTTTCTGAGCACTACGAGAGCATCCTGACCCTTGCCACCAACATGCTCGAGGGACTCCATTTTCTGTGATTCTGTCTTCTTTTTTTTTTTTTTTTACTTCATTCCTGTATCGCCGAATTCCTTCATCCACAACATCAGAAACAATAAAAAAAGGAGTACACGTGATTGGTGGCATAGTACCACTGAAATTCTAGCAAAACATTCGAAAAATGAAAGAATCATTCGAGCAACAACGACAACACAATATGCATCAACAATTGAACTTCTCACAATCCTATAAGAAGTTATGAAATACAGTCCCTGTTTTAACATTTGCACGTCTCCCATCCTGATTGTTATTTATCACATTAGTTACAAACCAATGCAAGAATAAAATATACAGAAATGAATTCTCCAGTTTTTTCCATAATCCGGGAGAAAGCTAATATTCCATGATAATCGAGGTTCCACCATACAAGGTGTTCAAAATCAAAGAGGCTACTATCATGAAAAATATTCGTTTAGACATCCACATTCCGCGGGAAAGCATTTGCCACGCGATTCCTAAAAACTTGACCATTAATATAAATATTTTAATCTCTCTTCCAACCAAAATTTCAAAACAAAAAAAATTCGCAGCGTAGCCTTTGCGGACGGTACGAATGAACAGAGAGAATACCTGAGACGAATTTTGACGGGGGAAAAAAACCAGTCCGTGCAATTATCTTCTTCTGATTCATTTGAAATTAACTGTTATACTCTACAGTATTATCAAAAATAATTATGAACAAAACCAAGATCTGACGAATCGAGGTAAACACGATAACAAGCAACGCAAAAATCCCGAACTAACGCTTTCCAGAACAATAAAAACGTCAGACAAAATGGTGATGTAAACCGTCAACTCGGCGTAAGATGATAATTTCAGATTTGGCGAACGAAACTGATGACAATACAATTTCGTCAGAACAAACCGTTTAGGATCTTACAAAAAAAGTCTCGTAATAAACAAATATAAATCAAAATAACACTATGATATTGAACAGAGACCCAGAAAAAAAAACAATTTCGTTGGAAAAAGTAATTCAATACAGTGAAATTTGTCGTAATGTGATCCTACTATACCAGTGAAAGATTAAATTCTACTTCGTAGAAGTTGTAAAAACAGCAGAAGTGATGTACAGTACAAAAATGACAGCACGTTCAGAAAGACAACGAAGACAATAATCTGCGGTACAGTATAGTGAAAAAAATCAAAATAAAACCGCAAGACTTGAACCATATCCACAAAATTTCAGATATTCCGGCATTCCGAGAAAAAATGCTGCATAGTCGAAAACGGTCAGATACACCGAATTCAAAAATTCTTCAGAAACAAAATTTCAAAAATTGAACCCGAGAAAATAAAGAATTCCCATCACTCTTGAAGGCTTATCAATTCCACATATCTTCGTGAAGAAAAACGAAAACCAGTCAGTAAGTTACAGAAGCAAGGACATTGATTTACCAACAAGATGAAAAGTAATTTGTTGTGCGAATCTTGTTTCAGAATCTAAATTTTTACCCATGAAAAATAAAATTCCATTTCCCTCGAAAAAAAAAAAATCTGTATTGTAACTCGCACAATCGTCCCTGGCGGACAGTCATGACAGGAAAAAAAAAATTTATCGGTTCCGAAAAAGAAATAGAGAGAGAAAACATGAGGTGGGCTAGCTCCGAAAGGTGAACATCGGACACGATTAAATTGCCAGCTAGGAAATTGCTCACCACGGCGCGGATCAGTGACCAGGGGAAAATTTTCCACCTCCGAAGGTCAAGGGTCATACACTTGGACCTCACAAAAAAAAAATTAACATCGAAACCACCCCCTCCCCTCCCCCAATGAGAGTTGCGAGCCCTGCGGCCAAAAGAGAAAATAAAAAAATGAAAAAGACCCGGCGGGTAAGGTCCTTCCCGGCCCAACTTCTCTCACGCGATCATCACAGTGCCATTCGCTAAGGTTCCAGGTAATCTCAGAACTCATTTGATCAGGAAGAACAGAAGTAGTGACATTAATAACATGACGTTGATAAGCCGTGATATGCGTCACATGCGTGTTTAGGTCGCGACGGATTTTTTGAAGTAATGCAAGGAGGAAAAATCGCGTGGACTGCCAATAATTCTGTTCTATTCATACAAACAAAACCTCCATAACGCATCAATAGAATTCGAAAATTTCGAAGATTAATTTGCAATGTACTGCATTATTCGGCGTAAAGGTCACACAGAGGGTGGAAAAACCTTGAGCTCGCAAATTTTAGGACATTTCAAAAACATTTTCTATGACTATGCAGTATTTTAAATTTAAATTTACTGTAATTCTTTTTACAAATTGTTTCGTGGTAAAAAAAAATGCTTCCATATTTCATGAGATGCCCCTTTGAATACGGCATCCAAAATATTGTCGCCTTTCCCAAGTTGAAAGAATGCTTGTATGTAACGTAATTCCCCTTGCAACTGAAGTTTAAATCAATCACAATAGAGTGAATATTTCGAACACACATTTATAATCCGTGGCAAAACGATGTCCGTGAGAGCAGACAAAAGTTACGCGTAACCAAGTTCACTCAAAACTAATCTTTCTATCTTTAATTATTTTCTTAATCCAAGTACTTGATTTATTAACGACTCGACTGCAATTAACTTGGAAGCTGTAAAAATGTTCGGACAAATTCATCGTCGACGCTATAATCTATTGTTATTTTTTTTACCGAAATTGTTCAATTTCCATTTCTAACAAGGACCTCTTCATGCGATGTGTAAACCACGAAAGCCAGAAACCTCGTCACAAAACGTCAACATTGCACCGGTTCGATTGATATCAACGAACCTCTCAATAGTTATGCGATAATCCTTTCTAGTAAATGTGATTTACTTCTTTCCCACGACATCCAATTGTAAAATCGAAAAAAATCATGGCGGAAAGCACACCTGCCAACACTGGACAGCTGCGCGCTTTTAATTGCAACCGTTGACAAAAAGGAGCCCAACGGTCACAGAAAAATAACGTACCTTAATTACACATGATACGAACAAAGCAAAGCATGAATTGTTGATAATGGAAATACTGTAATCAAATATTCCGCGATACAATTCGAAATCAACGCCGCAAGACTTTTCATTGAATTAATCAAGATTTTCTTTCTCGTTTTAAAACCCGTAATTCAATACAATAAAGCCTCGATTCTCAAGAGTTCCACGGGAAACTAAGCGACACTTTCGGTCCTAATTCGAGCCACTTTCGTTCCGTCAGTTCCACGAGATAGGATCAAATCATACACGAAGATTCATATAAAATGCAAGTTTGCTGAAGAATAAAAAAAAGCTCACCAAGGATAAAACTTTTTTCTGATTCATCACACGAAAAAAGAAATGAATGAATAAATAAATTCACGCAGGAAATTCATGAGGGCATTTTCCTCACGATTAACGGGACTTTCGGTAATATCACGCCAGGTCATCGTTGAATAATTTTCACTGCTACTACCTTTAAGCTAAAAAGAAAAAAAAGCGTTTTTCATGGCGACGGACTTTAGTTTTTAGGTCCAAAAGAAATTATCTCGAAAACGATCTGTCTTCCATATAAAAATATATTCGAACTGGAGGAAAAAAACTGCACGATATTAACGGATCACTCTGATGCCGAAGTGAAAAAAAAGATCAGTGCACTATCGGCTTTCCACAAACCAAAAATTAAACTACAGTATTCTCTTCAATTTAAATTGTCGAAACTCGTGCACAAACAATTACCAGAATCGTCAGAAGTTGGATACTGTTTTAGTACATGTCGAAAGGGAGAAAGTCGCAGATCACTGATATCATCGTCAACGTAAGAAAAGAACACGTCAAGGTTGAGAAATAACCAAGCAGTAAAGTACACAAATGACAAGAAAAAACTGCATTGAATCACCAGCACGATACCAGCAGAACAACAAAAGGGACTGTTCAGTACTAACATGAGTCCTTTCAGGGCGTGGAAAACGCACATGACAGAAGCGTTCACGAATGATTAAATTTCCACAAGCTGAGCCTAATTCTCACCGACATCAACAACCACTTCTTTTCAATCCTCGGAAAATATCCTGAGAGTACACACAAATACTCGCGATGAACATCACACAAAATGATTTACTCACAGGTTGGAATGAGCGTCAGGAGCGACGATTTTCATCGGAAGCTCCATGATGAAGGCACGGCAGACGAAGTAGGACACGATTCACAGGATCGTCGACAGGACTGGAATTTCATCCGATACCGACACTTCCTGTCGCCATGATCTGTCCGCACGAACTTTTTTCCACAGGCACACAAAACGGTAACTATGTCACTCCGCCGGAAATCCTGGTTTCATCAAATGTTACAATCATTAAACTGAAACACCGGCGAAAACCGTGACAAACGGAAAAAATATGCGAAAAAGCAACTACGGAACGAACTCGGCACACACGAAGAAAATCAAAAATTGAGTTCGGAAGGCTGGAACGCTCTAACCAAAGTCTTCACACCCAATCATTACGTTATTTCAGGCTCACTAAAACGCTCGCATTGACCAAAAATTCGGGAGGTTTCCTCTACAGTATTCGAATGTGACACCGGCACGAAAATCAAGAAAATTAACAGCGATTCTCAAAAATATTCAAGGCAAATTTTTACAGGCGTCGTAGCTTTGCGGCTCCTGAAGCAAGAAAATTAACTTCGCAAAATGACATCTTCCAGGCGAATCTCAGACGTTCAATGATTAAGAAAAATAATATGCGAAAAAGCAACCAACAAACAATTTAAGCG